AAATTTTTAAACGAATTTTTTCATAATTCCATAACTAGTATTCATTTGTTAGATGCAAATATTCAAACTCACTTACGGTTTTTTTATTATAAAGATGCAATATTACTTTTGCGTCATTACCGTAATTATTGTTAAACACTTCATGGAATATAACTAACGCTTCTGCATTAGAGAACAACATCGGTTTTACAAATGCATGTATGTTATCACGATGTTACTTACTATAAAAAGATTAAAAACGTTTAAATAAAACATTAAGCGCTTTTATATTACATAACAAAAACTAATAAACGTTCAAAAATGAAGCACAGCCACTATGCATGTTACAAAGTATTAAATAAACGCATGCTAAAATTGTTTCGAGTTGTTTGATGTTGTAGAGTTCGGAAATCTAAATGATCTTTAATTAAATTAAATAAGAAGAACTGAATAGAACGTACCGTTGTCTATGTAACTATACAATCTTCATTTCTTCAATCTTTTCAATTGGTGTTTAACGCCATTAATGTCTATGATTCGCGGCATAAAAATCGAAGATGTGGTTATTTATGTATATAGTGTTTCGTCGGTTAAAAAATATATTCCCGTGAAGACGTGTATTATAATATAACATAAACTTACATCGAAAATATACATCACTCTTTAGAATATACACGCGATATATGTTGTATAAAAATCTAGTTTCCAAGATTCACATACTACGTTTACGCGAGCGTTACTTCTGTAGTAACTTACGATAATTTCTTCGCGTAAACGGGATTTTGTAGTAACTTACAATAATATACTCTGCGTAAACTACAGAAGTAACGCTCGCGTAAACGTAGTAACTAATAACATAAGACACTTCTTCAAATAATGTTAGATTAAAAGGAAAAAAAACGCCTATGTACACGCGCAAACAACTTAGTCCAGTTTATCAGAGACCAATGGAAATCTGACTATTCTCAATTGCCGACCGTAGTCGCAAACGACGCTGTCTCCCAACGCCAACATTTGCTTCACGAAAATGCAGCTGTCTTTATGACCCAATCTTACTTCTCGCACTGGCTCGCCCGTTCTTACGTCCCAGACTACTAATGATCCCTGAAACATTAACGGTCAGATCGAGATTTATTTTTGTGTATCGATAAATATTTAAGAGAATCAGTTTTATATATGTATATATATATACCTGATTACTAGTTATGAGGAGATGATGCGTCAACATCACTAATTGTAAGCTATAAGCTACTTTGTGTGCCGGCAAAGTATGTAATAAGTGTCCTTGAAAGCGTTCCCAGACACACAATTTTTCATCTGTTCCGATGCTTATCACATAGGACACTGAACATGTGATAGCGGCTACAGCACCATCGTGGGCTTGAATACTATACATGCATGCTCCTATAAGAATATTACATAAAAGCATTAGATTAGGAGACATAACAATTATAATAAATTACCAAATATATTTGTTGAAATGAGAGGGGCGGAGGTGTTTACCTGTCAAAAGATCCCACACACACAATAATCCATCTTGAGACCCACTACCGGATGTCATGGGACTTATTCTATCAATAAAGAGGCACGATATCGGACCGCTATGTCCGTGAAGCGTATACAGAGGCAGCTGATCTTCTAGCCTAGATAATATAAAAATAGTAAATACATGAACAATTTTTAGAAAAAGCAAACTGGAGTATATTAGACTATATATACATATATACCTGTATACTTTCAAAGTATGATCCTGGCTGCCTGTTAATACACGCCCGCCTTCGCTATCTAAAACAGTGATCGCTTGTTGATGCGCTCTATAAGAGCCAATTTTCATGCAGCGCAGGTCTTCCTCTGTTTGCATGGTGTTATTTATATCCATGGGCGAACCAGCGCTTCCTGTTCGCACATGCGCTAAAATAAGAGGTCAATTAAACGTGAATATATTTTAATAAAGAAATAACCTTGTTATTTATATACAATATAACATAGAAATAAATTCATTATCATAATAGATTCATGAGCCATTATCTTATATTATTTACTTCTTCTGTAAGATGTAAAGCCCCAATCAATCTGCTGGCCTTCGCTGTAACTCTCAAGTTGCAAAAAGTCGACAGCTCCATTCAATTTAGCTGCCACTACTCTGCTACCGATGAGTTTAACTGCGGAGATTCCAAGTCCCGATCCATCATCGAAGAGACACTGAGTAAAGAAGAAAAAAAATTATTAAATGAATGAATTAATTTACGTTTAATAATACATTCACTCAGATTATTCGTGTCTCACCTTGAATCTACCGGTCGTACCCTCCCAGAATTCGAGACTGCCATTAGCGCATCCCACTACTATGAGATTTTCCTGATAATCCATGCACCAAATCGCCGATATGATGTGCGACGATTGTATTGTACGATCGGTATTTATGGAGGACGTGCTGCCAACTAAATTGTTTGACCTTCCGGGAAAAACGCTCATTTGTTCCCTGGTTTTAGATTTTTGCATCTCCTCGATCGACTTATTGTGTTCCTCGAATAAGACTTTATATCGGTCCCCGAAGTCGAAGCCTTGATCATAATTCTTTTGCGAAGGTGTATATTTTATGGTTGAGAATTTGATGTTGATCGCCGGTTTCAGATCGGGAAGATCGTAAGCACTGCCTAAGCTTCGACGTAATAGCTTCTGCTTGCTGTCGCTACCGAGCTCATTGATTTGATAATCGTAATCCAACATGGTCCCTATAGACCGTCTTTTGTGGTTGTTGTTATTGTTGCTATTAACCCTTCGCATATTGTAAGCGGGAGATAGCTTTCCCTGATACATCGCCGAGGCCGGTGAATAAAATCCCATCGACTGTGCCGCCTCCATTTCCCCTCTGGAAGGTGGCGAGCCGCTTTCGTAATCCGACATCAACTCGTCGGCATCCGGCGACATTTGACTCAACGTTTTCTGTGGACCGCTGAAGAATTGTCGTCTATCGATATGCGCCAATTGCTCGCCGGACGTCGAATCCCATATCCTGATGTGTCCCGCTAAACACGTGCTAGCCACGGTGTTACCGTCCGTCGCGATACATTCCACTTCCTGAGTATGACCTTCCAAAACCAGCGGCACCGCCTCCAGCACTAACTGAGTTACGGAGTCGTGCGTCTTTTCTTGCTGGTGCCAGCTGGCTCGCCACTCCGCGTAATTTCTCGTGCAGATACAACGGTACAGTACGACCATCGTATAAGCGACCACGATCACGCTAATAAGACACAGCAGAGCCGCCAGAAATATCTCCATCGGACTCGACGGTACAAAAGGCGCATCCGTATTAAATACGCGCCCTTCCGATCTCGACGGAACTTCCATATCTAAAAAATAAAAGGAAGCGTAAAAAGGTTGAAAATTCGATAACCAACTTTTCGTAACGTTTAACTGAAAGAGCCAAACCTGAAAAATCTAGAGGATCGAGCGCGGCGGTAGCGAGACTCTGCCACTGAAAGTGTTGTATGTCATTTGGGTTACTAATTTGTTTTGCTAATTGCGGGCTCACTGCGTGCGATAACTTTATCGTCGGTAATATAGTCACTCGACCACCGGCAATCGACACATTGTACATTGAGAGAATCGAAGACCAATGATACAGTGATAAGCTATTCCAAGGCGGGAAATCCGTAGGTCTTAACTTGTTTAATTCCTCTGTTGCGTTATTAGTTAGAGCCTAAAAAGATATATATATATTTTTAAATATATGGGCTATAAAAAAAAATACGAGAACGTTTTGCCCATTAGAAATGAAAGTCACCTGTTCATTTAAATTAATCGGGGCTATGGTTGCGGGCGATATGGACATAGGTGTTGCCGTATTTAGCTCGACATAGTTTAATGACTGAGGCTTGTCCACCGTATATCCGTCAATGTCAGTTTCTGGCTTCAGCGTCTCGCTAAGGTGTATTATGTGCTCGATGATACCAGAATCGTTAATGGTCATGCTGATCCACACGACCATCCCTACCATAAATGCGCGCTGGAAAATTCGCGTCCGCGCCCAGAAATGCACCAGTCTTAAACGCTTAGGGATTTTTGCCAGAGTGTGAGTATTCTGCGTATTCGGAGCGATAACGTTCGTCGGGCCGGTAGACAGACCGTTCAATCTCGGATGAGACTTGGAGCGGAATATATGAGGCTTCCTGTTGGTAATGGTGGTGGTAAACTGTTGTCTGCGCGATGTCTGAATGTGCGACAGGTGAAACTTGGAATTCTCGTTGGACAGCTCCGTTCGTCTGATGTCGATCGCCAGGATCGTCGAGAAGAATACCATTTGCAGGAAAAAGTCATTCAGCAGTCCAACAATGGCAAATATGCAAAATTCCTGGATAGCAGGGACGAAAGTGAATAGCCCGATAGTCAGGATCGTCACTTCGGTGAGTAGATTCTTCGTAATGGACCATCCCTCCTTAGATAAAGCCTGAGCGACGCGTATTTTCACGTCCAATTGGGCGGGCGTGCTGACGACACTCTTAGTCAACACCTGAACGTTTTCGAGTCCGAAGATAATCACCAAGTACGGAAACACCTCCTTGGCACTCATGTTCAGTGTTAGACCGAAGAAGAAACACTCACCCACGGTCATTGACAGCGAGCCCATCACCGTCACGCTGGCACTGAATGCAATGCCAATTTTAGACTTTACCAGTTCTATCTTCCGCACTTGGAAGTACTCGTAGAAAAATAAGGCTAGGGAAGTCATCATCAGCGGGAAGAATTCACTGTAATTGAATTCACCGGGATAGAAGATATTCAATATTTCACCGCGCGCATCAACGTCCGTGCCGTTGTCGGCGTTTTGATGCAGAGGATAATAGGTTCTCAGTCGGTGCTGCAATCCTTTTATGAATCTACAAGTAAATAACATGTACGTTAATATAATCACAATAATGAATTAAAAAATAACGAATTATATGAACTCACTCCTGATCGTATTTCTTCAAATAAATGGTTACGGCATATTGGAGGATTCTCTGACGAACTCGAGCGGGATACCGTTTCACTCCTGTTTCCTTTAAATTCATTCCAAACATCACTTCCGCGAGACTTATTTTTCCCCTCTGAAAATTCTGTAATAATAAAGATAAAAACAAATTAACCATTTTTTTTCGTCTCACACTAAAGATAAGACTAACCTAACAAAATGAAAAGAATGCTTTATCTGTTTCGTTACATTAAAAAATAATGTGATCTATGGGACTACTTCATACAGAACAATTGCACTAATTACAGTTTCGTAATATCATAATTGTGTATTTACCTGATACGAAAATATTGTATTAATGAGGTTTGTGTCCTGAGCGAATAACTCTATACTTTGTTGCCAGAGATTTGCGGGCGACAGAACAAGACAGTTGTACTCCGGCAAAACCTCGGCCTTCTTGCCGTTTCTTTTCTTCACCGCTTCAATGTGCAGGCACACCTGGCCAAGTGTTTTCAATCTAAAAGTCAGATCACATCATTATTCTAAAGAACAGGTGCCTTGCAAAATGATCAATTCTTTTTGTATTTCTTTTAACAACAAGTATACTGTTTTCCGTATATCTTGCGCTACATAAAACAATTTTTGAATGTATCTAAACGTCTTAAAAAAGAAGTTGGACATGTAAGACTCTCCTCAGAAGCAAATAGCTTAATTAACATCTTATTTGCTGTCGTGTATGAGTTATCGACACCAATTGGATGGTGCACTCACGTTTCTGGATGCTGATAGTTCCGTATGATCTCCAAGAGATTGAACACTTCGTAGAGGGGTCCCCTGAAGGCGTCCATCAGCGTCAGGTCCTCGTTCCACGGCATCACTCCGATTCTCAGCACCACTTGTTGGACGTAGAGCACCGAGGTCTCCGTGCCGTTCGCCGGTAGGACAGTGTTGTTGATCAGGGTTTTCGGGGCATTGCCCGGCATGGGTAGATTGACAAGCGGGTAGCTGCGACAATCGGACAAATCAGTCTCTCGCTGTGGATCTACTCGAGGCGTCAGGTATCGGGATGAAAAAAGGGTAAACTCACCAGCATAGCAAGAGAACCGATATCGCGAGCGAGAGTACGGCGATGGGATGGGAGGAGCAGAATAGGCCGTGGGCATAGTAGACCCCGGCCACCCTGTCCGGCAGACTGCGAGACATTTCACCTACGTGCTGCGCCGTCCGTACGACATCCCCCGATTGCAGGCCGCCGTGCCGCCCCTAAACTGACCTGGCAACATCCAACACGAGGCGATCTAAGTATCGACACGGTAGCCGTGACACATGATACGCCGCGCGGCGCGGAGAGAGATAGGTTAGAGGGAACAAAAAGGCGCCGCGTGTTTTTCTCATCGATTATCGCCGTCGTTACGCAACTCCGGAGGAGTGCGTGTGCGTCGTTACGCCCCAGATATTTAATTCGCGGCGCCGTTTTGAACGGCGCGATAACGGAATTCTCCGGCCTCCGCGAGCGAGCGAAGAGGCGTTCTCCAAAATTCGCGCGGCGGACGCCAGTTCACGTCTCGCTACACGCAGCACGGCTCTCGACTTACGGTATCCCCTAACCATCCCGCATCATCGTCCACGTTCCCGCACGATGCGACGCTCCAGTCCAGGAAGGCTTGAAAGTATCGATCGTTTCCTGCGGGGCACGATCGCGACGTCCTCGATGACGACTGACGACGACGGTCGACGACGACGACGGTGCGCAGTTCGGTTCCCTCTTTCGGTCTCGCGCTTCGCCGCGCGCGCGGAGGCGGACAGAGGCGGACGAGCACTGGAGTCGGGACGACGAGCGATAAAAATATAATTAACGCGCGATAAAATCCCGGCCGGGAGGCAAACAAAAAAAAAGGAACTACGCCGCGCGGCGCGTGCACGGTACCGCGTCGGAGGTTATGTTCGGCGCGCTCGTTTTTGCGGCGCATTAAAGGCCGCGTTAAAAACCGTGGCGACGGCGGCGGGGGAGAGGTGGAGGAAGACGCGCCGCTACTTGGGGGATCGATTCCGCGGCGCGCTCGTACGAATCGCTGATCGCTGCGCCCGCACGTGCGTCGCGGGCCGTGCGTCACCGCTCGCGTAAACTCGCTCCAACTCGCTCGAGCGGGCGAGAGAGCGGTCAGCGGAACAAAAATCCCGGCGAGCAGAGGGACGAGCGAGCGTGACGCGTGACGGCGGCGCGCCTGGACGTGATCGTAGCGTGCGGACGACGATGACGATGTTGACGATTAGTATTCCGCTTCTTCGCTCCGCTTACATTCCTCAATCCTCGCGCGCGCGATAAGCTGGCAAATGTCTCCGCGGACGACCCTCCCCCTTTCCCCCTGAGGTCCTCCAGTCGATCCGGAGTGCACTGGCCGACGGCGAGGCCGGGTCCCGCCGGGTTGATTTATTTTTGAATCGAGGAGAGCCCAACCTGCCCAACCCGGGCCGAGCCCCCGGCGCGTGGCCAATCGCCAGGTGCGTCGCCGAACGCACACGTGGCCGACCGAGAAGGGATGGAAGGGAAAAGAGAGCGAAACTGGCTCGGTCAGCTCGGTGACGGCTGATGACGGGCGGCGGGCGCGCGAACAGAGAAGGTTTATCCGTTTTGTCCGCTCGCGCGGACGAGGTCCGTCGCGTAACTGGCCACGCGCCCGGAGTGTGCGATGTGTGCACGCTCGCGTCGCTCGCCAAGTCGCGCAGTTATAACTAATCCGTGATTCGATCGCATGCATAATCGAAGGCCTCCCGCGGTAATGTGCCTCGCGGGAAAAAAAAGGTTTTTGCGCGCGTCTGCATATATAATGCAGAGGCGCAGAAACGATTGTTCGAGAATTCGGGAGAGATTGACGGGATGGATGGAGAGAGAGAAAAAGAAGAATTTCCGAAAAATGTCCGAATAAAATTAAAATTGTCACGGGAATTCAGGAAGTATGATAAAATTCATAAATTGCACGAGTTTCTCGATGAAAATCAGAAGAAGCTTCCTGTTGGAGAAATATTAGGGGAATTATGAAAAGCTTTTGTGATGGTTAACAACGATAATTAAACAATTGAGAGATAAATTATATTTGAATTAAAAAAAGAATTCTTACGGAAATTCAGAAAGAAAATGATAAAATTCTCGTGTAGTTTCTTGATGAAAATCAGAATTTATTGCTGGAGAACGGTAGCGTTAGGGCACACTTAAATAATGAAAAGCTTTTGTGATAAGTTGATAACAATAATTTAACAATTGAGAGATAAATGATATTTAAATTACACGAGCGCTTTTCCTCATAGAGGGTTCTAACAATTGCAATATCAGAATGACCGCTTTCTGTTTAGAATTGTTAAAATCCATTCTTTTCTGTCGCTATCTATTCATGAGGCTTCATCGCATGCATATAGCTATAACAGCTTGAATGCTACGAATAAAGCTTAATTTTTCGAGTAAGGCGGCTATAGGAGCCTCGCAAATAGATTTTATGTTGCAAAAAGCTCGTGAGCGGAGCGGAGGAACCTCGCAAATAGATTTCAAGCTGCAAAAAAGCTCACGAGTCAATATCAAAGTTTATAT